TGTGGGAGGGGGAGTATGTGAGGGGGAATGAGCAGAGGGAGGGGAATGAGGTGGGAGGGGGTGTATGAGTGAGTGAGTGAGTGATTGGGGTATAAGGGGAGTGTGGTGTGTGGAGAGGTGTATGTTGGTAGGGATCCGGGTGCAAGGGGAAGGTGATGGATGAGAAGTGGGTGAGTGAAGGGAGGACAATGGGGAGGGGAAGGAGTGGGACTTGGGGAGAAGTGGTGGCGGGCCAGACCAGGTGAGGGGAAGGAGGAGGTGGGCCAATGTGGTAGGTTTGATGGAGCTGGTGGGAGGGAATGGCTTGGTAGGCTACAAGGTGAATGAGTGTTAGATGGTGCAAGTGGTGGGCGAAGGTGAGGTCAAAGGGGAGTGCATTTTGGTCAGGTTAGGGTTGGAGAGGATACACTGTCTGGTGAACGAGAGTGGGGAGAGGAGGAGCTGGGTGAGGAGTACGTGGTTATGTTTCCACCGCTTGGAGATAGACTCATTTAAGAATTATGATGCAGAGATGCCGGGGAGGACCAAGTCTTGAAGCCGTGTCACACCAGGTTGTAGTCCGACGGGTTTATTAAAAATCACAAGCTTATGGAGCATTGCTGAGCTCACCTGATGAAGGAGCAGCACTCCGAAAGCGTTTGAGTTTTAATAAGCCTGTTGGACTATAACCTGGTGTCATTAAGAATTACAGCAAGAATAAAGGGGACGGGGAGTTGAGGTTTGGGGATTCTGCTCTGGTTGGTCCTTCGTACATGGTGACTGCTCTTCTGCACGGTTTCAAAGCCAGTTTCTGATTCTCACAGGCTCAGGGGGAGCAGTCGTGGTTGGAGCCCAAGCCAATTACTTACCTTGTGCCAACACTACCTGGAGAGAAGAAAGGTAAGAGAAAGAACTGGAATTGTGACCTGCTGTGTTGTCTGGGGTAGTGCTTCTGATGTAGTAGCTGCATTAAGCTACACCCTGTTTGATGACGTCCGTGGTCTTGGGGTGGAGAGGACGGTTCTTCGTGATGGAGACCAATGGAATCTCTACCTCCTATTAGCCTTAATCCCAGACTAGTCACTGCAACTTGTCGCTTGCTTTATAGCAAGAAGGACTATGCCTTGTGCAAGGCAGCTGCCTCTTCTGAATAACCTAAAACAGAGGAACTGCGGATGCTGGAAATCCGAAACAAAAACAGAGCTTGGTGGTGCAGCTGAGCCGGTCTCTCCGCGCCTGTGGAGAGAGAAAGCGGATTTCGTGTTTCAGAGTCCTGTGACCCTTCTTCAGAACCAGCTGTTCGGTTCTGATGAAGAGCCGGTGGACTCTGAAACAGTAACTCTGCTTCCTCTCTCCTCGGGTGCTGAGAGACGTGCTGAGTTGCTCCAGCAATTTCTGTTTGTGCTCTCTTCTCAATAGTGGACTGTTGCTGATGGGTCCTCAGAAACAGCATGCAGCGAAGGATTTTGTGACACAGTGTAGTGTCCCTACCTTTGAGCCAGAAGGTCTGGGTTTACGCCCCACCTGCTCCTGAGGTGGGGCGTCATGTATCTGGAGTTTAAAAAATATCGACAATGAAAGATTGGTGGCAACGCTGTTCCCCAACCAGAGTGAAAACTGGGTACCTTGAAAACCTGGACTCCTCACAGCTGAAGGATGTGTTGGAGCAGTTTTGCAGCTCTGTGAGTAACATAAAGAGAATCTTACAGAGCGAAGGGGGAAAGCCTTGAAAACCGGGTTGGGAATGCCAAAGGTGAAGTGGACTTACAATAAACAGAGCGAGTGCCAGAACATCAATCTTTGCCAAGGCACTGGCATGGGAAAAACATTGCAAAAACAACTGAAGACAGCAAAAGGAGAACATAGAACATAGAACAGTACAGCACAGTACAGGCCCTTCTGCCCACGATGTTGTGCCGAGCTTTTACCCGAAACCTAAGGTCCATCTAACCTCCACCCCTACCTTATACTATCATCCATATGCCTATCTAATAGCCGCTTAAATGCCCCGAATGAGGCTGACTCCACTACCCTCTCCGGCAATGCATTCCACGCCCCGACCACTCTCTGAGTAAAGAACCTACCTCTGACGTCTCCCCTATATCTACCTCCACTCACTTTAAAACTGTGTCCCCTCGTAAAAGCTACCTCCACCCTAGGAAAAAGTCTCTGGCTGTCTAAAAGTTTAAAACATTTTGAAGACAGAATCTGACCGAAAAATTTTAAAATAACGACAGGACCAAGGCAGTCGTAATTTAAACTGCAGTTTTTGTCAATACAACGTATTAAGGCTGTGTGCGCAGGAATTTATTTATAAAAATTGCACCTTCAAGGAGGCGGGAAGCCACCATTTGAGGGAGCTGTTTCTACACCACAGAATTTAAAAAAGAAATTATTTATTCACTTGTGGGGCATGGATATGGCTGGGCTCAGCATTTATTGCCCGTCCCTAGTTGCCCCCTTGAGAAGGTGGTGAGCTGTCTTCTTGAACCGCTGGTGTGGGTTGACCCGCAATGCCCTTAGGGAGGGAATTCCAGGATTTTGACCCAGCGACAGTGACGGAACGGCGATATATTTCCAAGTCAGGACGGTGAGCGGCTTGGAGGGGATCTTGGAGGTGAGTGCATCTTCCGCCCTGGTCCTTCGAGATGGAAGTGATCGTGGGTTTGGAAGGTGGTGTCTGAGGATATCTGGTGAACTTCTGCATCTTGTAGGAGCAAGCTGTAGTTGACCAACTTCCTGAACTCAGGAGGAGCTCAAAAAAGGAGGAAGGTAACCTGACGGTTAGCATGAAAGAATTGTTTCATCCTGTTAACAAGAAGGACGCCTACAACTACACAGGACTGGTGGAAATGCTTACTTCTTGGTTGTTTTGGGATGCCCTGCCTCTGGGCTAAAAAGTTGGAGTTTAAATCTCTCCTGTCTCAAAGATCTGTCATGACATGCCCGAATATGTGCCCCAACCAAACACTGGGACTGGTAGTGGAGTGTAAGGCATGCTGGGTAGGTAAGGTGTTGCAGCTTTCTGTATGTTACATTATCAGTTACCCAGAGGAGCCTAAACCCACCACTAATAACCGCGACATTTTAATTCAAACTGTACAGCACCTCGGCAAGAACACATTGAGAGTAACGGGTGCCATTTCCTGGCTCCAGGGCGTTTATGCTGCATTGGAAGCGGTTCCGAGAACATTCAACTGATTCCTGCAACGGTTGGGTCATCCTGGCGCGGTGGCTCATTGGGTTAGCGCTGTTGCCTCACAGTGCCAGGGACCCGGATTCGATCCCACCCCCGGGCGACTGTCTGTGTGGAGTTTGCACGTTCTCCCCCGTGTCTGCCTGGGTTTCCTCCGGGTGCTCCGGTTTCCTCCCACAGTCCAAAAATGTGCAGGTTAGGGTGGATTGGTCGTGGGAAGTGCAAGGGTTACAGGGATAGGGTAGGGGTTTGTGTCCAGGTGGGATGCTCTCCAGAGGGTCAGTGTGAACTTGATGGGCCGAACAGCCCACACTGTATGGATCGTATGATCTTGCGAGGAAAGGTTGAGCCGATACCCATCGGAGTTTAGAACAACGAGAGCTGCTCTTATCGAACCGAAAAACATCCTGCAAGGAATTCCGAGGAAGAGCCGTACTGTCCTCGGAAAGTTTACCGTCTCTTCTGTCTCCGCGGGTGCTGCCGGACCTGCTGACTTTCTCCGGCACTTTCCGTCTTTGTTTCGGGTTTGCCGCGTCTGCAGTATTTTTGCCTTTACCTGTGAGAGGGATCGACAGGCTGGATCCTGAAGGATCTCGTAGGGGTACGAATTAAAAAGAAGATCTCTCTTCTTCCAGGCAGACAGGAGAACTCCACATGCCCCCCTCCTCCCACCTTCCCCCCTCCTCCCACCTTCCCCGCCAATCCCCGAAGGTCAATGGTCCGGGAGGAGTGGGGGCAGGATCATTAACATTTCCAAGGCTGAGCGAGATTCCCGACTAACAAGGGGCTAACATTGGGAGTAGACGGGCAACTGAGTTGTAACGCTATCCGATCAGTGCTGATCTTCTATAACAGCAAAGTAGCCCTTAGAGGGGCTGAATGGATAACTCCCGGCCATAGTCGAGGTGGTCACTGCTCCATCCTACCCTGAGAGGAGGCTGTTGAAGGTGGATTGCGAACCGTTCCTCTTTGGAACACAATCCCCTGCTCAACCCGCATCAACAAAGATGAGCTGAAGGGCAGTAAGCGTCAGGGAAAGGGTATGAAAGCAGACTCTGTCCTGGCAAAGTGCACATTCTCTGGGTGGCTCGCCAAGGACGTGACCGGGAGACACATCTGCCGGAATTCATAACTCCCCCTGAACGCTGGCTTCCTCAGATTCTCCGTTAAATGGCTGAGTGCCCGCGATGGGCTGAATGGCTGGTGTCAGGCTCCCGCTTCTCACAGTTGGCTATCCAGGGTGCGGTGGGGGTGAGGAGGTTGCAGGAGATGGGGTGGTGGGTGGCGGATGGAGGGGAAGGGGGTGTTGGATGTTTTCAGAGACGCCTGCATCTGTTGATGTTCCCTAACTCGGTGACTGTGTCGCAGATACCTCCGGACCCCTGCCCGACTCTTACAGCCCGCAGTATGTTGAGGCGGCCTGGTACCCCTGGTGGGAGCAGCAAGGCTTCTTCAAACCCGAGTATCACGTGAGTAGCAGAGGGGAGAGGGAGAGGTGCAGCAGCTAGGAATCACAGATGGGTGGTGAGGGGCTGTGTGTGTGTGTGTGTGTG